TACTACCACTACTACTGCTACTACTCACTACGACAACGACGACCACGATCACGACCACGACCACGCCACGACAACCACGATGAGGACGGGGACGAGGATGAGGACAAAGACGACGAGGACGACTACTACTAAGGAGACCAAAACCACGTCAGTGTCAACACGGTCCTGCTGGGGTTGGAGTCATCACATTCTTCTTTGACATGATAACCATCATCTTCAACGCCATCGTCATCATCAGCTATCCTCATCATCAGCTCCAAAATCATCGTCATCGCCATCACCATCACCCCATGCTGGCTCTGCTTTGGCATAGGTATCCGAAGATTGACATCCTTGTCGATAATGCCGGGGCTGTTTTCGACGATGCCGCTGAACTTGAAGAGAAGAGCCTGCATGGCCCCTTCGGAACTTGGGGTTTGTGGCAACGATTCAGGGCTTTGGGCTGATAGGGCCTTGGAGTGCGGGCTTAGAGCGTTGGGGTTGGCGGCCAAGGCTTAGGAACCAAAAAACACACACCGCAGATTCTAGGTCATCCCCAAACCGCAGATTTGATACCATTCAAACTTTCCGAACAGTCAATGTACTTTCTGTCCTTGTCGCTCCTCCTTGCTTGTTGTGAAGCAAATCTTTAGGAGCAAGCTTGCTGGCTGCTTGTTACTGGAAGCAGCTTCAATGAGCTCTTATGGCTGTTTGAGCTGTTATGACTCATCTGCGAAGCACCGGGTGCAAGAGAAAGCAAACCGGGCTGTGTGCATATGGAAAGATGTGGTGGTACATCGGTAACAGCCATGAAGCAAACGTTATAGTGGAAACAGCATCCGCTGTGAAATGAAATCTGTTCCAAGGCGCCAATGTGGCACATCACTGCCATCATCGTAGCTGTTACCGTTCTCATCATTAGTGTCGCTGAATCCTAAAACTTGATTCCCTATGCCCTACATCCCCCAACCCCTGGACCCTTAACACCATTATCATTTAAACCTGAAGCCTAACCGGCAAGCTGAAACAGGGGTCTCCAACAGTTAGGAGTCTAGGATTTGGAGGGTCCGCTGGGGGGGGGGGGGAGGGGCGGGGGAAAATTCCTTGACAACAAACGGTTGGGCTTTTCCAAGGGCCAGTTGTTTCCGGAACCCTAAACCCTAAACCCTAGACCCTAAACCCGAGGAGATTGAAACTTTCGAGAAGCTTGATTTCTATGAACGCTTGCATGGACACACCCCGAAGCTCAAAACCCTAAGCCCCAAGCGCTAAGCCCTCCTGCGTCATGAACGGTTTAGGGTGTAGGGTTTAGGGTTTCATGACATACTAAGCGTCGGCTTCCGTTACAGATCTTAGCCCAAGCTGCTATATTGCGGACCCGAAACCCTATAAACCCTACACTTTTTTCCGGAGCACATTTTCGTGTGTCTACTCTAGGTCGCGAGTGTGGTGACATTACTTAACAAGGCAAGCGCGACGGAGCAGAGAGACTTGGGAGGTCATCTTCAAAACCGAAGTTTCGCAGACAAACTTGATGGGTTTAGGGTTTAGGGCGATCGTGCGGAGCACGTGAACGGCAAGTTGGTTTCTATCACGAAGCACCCGAAACGCAGCCCTACACCCGACTCCCACATCTGAACATCGGGCACCCAGTTCGCCCAGACTTCAGCACAATCCCAGTGATCTAGAACTTCTAGGCCGTATACTTCAAAACTGTTCGCTTTCAACTCTAACCCCTAAACCCCGAATCTCACACCACTAGGCCAAAACGGTGGAGAATGGCATCGAGATCACATTTGCGACGTGCCTTGCCAGCTGTTGTGGGTTTACAGGCTCTTGGAGAAGGGGCTGGGTTCGATTCACGGGTTCAGGCTGTAGGAGGGTTCACGGTTTAGGGGTTAGGGGTTTAGGGGTTTAGGGTTTAGGGACACGGAGTTTAGAGCCACAAGAACTTATTATAGGGGCCTTAATAGTTAGAATAGAATAGGGTTCTGGTGCCCATTATACTATAATTAAGGAACCCCCAAAACCCTATTCTAATCATTAAGGCCCCTATATTATGCTCACCCACATGGTTTCACAAGAGCCCTTGAACCCCAGTCCGCCTATCAATGAGAAGTTCTGGCAATTTTCTCCACAACCGCGTTTGGACAATTCTCCAAATTAGGGTCCCTCTTCAGGTCCCCAATATAGTACGGCACCCTTATGAAAAGGATCCTAAAAGGGACCCCAAT